ATTAACACTGAATTGCCGGGAGGGTCAACTAATTACAATGATACATACATGATAAAGTCCCTGCGTTTTACCCCTAGCCTAAAAGGTACCACCGATTATCCGTACCCATTTATATATGGAAGTACCCCCGGGGCCTTTGCAGACTATTACGAAAACCATTCCAGTAAATGCAAACAATTTGTTTCAATTACTTACAATGCGAAAGCATATTAATGAGTGTACAATGCACTAACAACAACTAGGTGAAGTCGGACTAGCTATTTTTGAAAATTGATAGACACGAGTGAAAAGATTATGATGTTATATTCTGTCTAATCATATGATTATATTATGAATGTAAATGAAACTAGAGAAAAACAGGAGGATATTACATAAAATATAAAAATTAGATTAAAATATATATTTCTTAATTTTTCTCCAAAATAGCCGAACTCACGGCCTAATAAGAGCGCCTAGCTCAAAATATCCAAACTTTCTTGAGACTAAAATAAACTTGACCTAAAAAGTCATGTAATTAATATAGCAATGAACGTTTTAAAAGAGTCCTTGCTTTCACTGATAAAATCAAACGTGCTATCTAGACAAGTGACGCTAAGTGATAACGTTGACCTCTCAGGCCTAGAAAATACTTTACAAAGTAAATGATAACTATAAAATCATTAAGCTCGCCTTTTTTTATTGATAAAAATGTTTCTTCTTGTTMTAATTTGAAATCTTTGCCCACACAACACTGCCTAACGCTAAAAAGGCCATTGATTTAGTTTCGAAAGCATACTACTCGAAGCACCAAGCGATCTGCACATGCGCRTACTTATGATACCTAGACTAATGCATTCCGATGAGATCACAGATACCACATTAGTAAACGAATAGTTTTTTGTCATATAAAAGCGCGAGTAGCATATAACATTTACTAACGATATTCGTACATCAATACGTTTGASCTTCCGGTCCTGTAATAACACAGGCAACCCAATAGTTAATTATTAAATTCTTAACTTCCGGTGGTCCAAACGCGACATAATACATAGATAGATAGATAGATTGACGAAAAGGTAAATTTAAAGTCGGACCGCCTTCGGCTAGTCCGACTAATAAGTTGTACAAATAATGAGTGGGTAGCCTTGTTCCGATGCTCGATGTTTTGATACATTTTCAAAATCTTTCCCTCTCCTGCCTGTTAGGCAAGCTACATATCTATGTGAATAAGTAGTATTTCATGATCATTTTGAAAATGCAAATCCATT